TGACAGAGCAGCTTGATGGGCACCTGGTGTTCAGCCAAGGTCAACCCACCACAGTTGTGGTGGAGGGATGGCAGGTAGATTGTGTGTAAGTTGTCCACTTTCATGTTCTGGTGATGTTAATTTGATTTTGATTTTGTGGGGAATTCTTTTCTGTTGCTATGAGTGAATTTTGTGAAGATTGTGTGGTGATTGTGTATTTCAGTGGTAATTCTTAAATGTGTGATTCACAAAGGCAAGGGGTGGAATGTATTGGGTTTGCATGTCAAGGTTTCGTGGGGGCTACAGGAGTGGCTTCTGTGAAAGGCTGCTAGAAGCTTCCCCTATGTCTGAAAGAGGCAATAACAGCCGAGTCCAAGATGGACCTGCTGCTGGCCAAGGCTGAGTCAATCAATGACGGTGGTAGCCCCTCTGTGAAAACATGTTTAAGAAGGTGGAGGGGGAAACCCTGTGCAATTGCAGCAGGAGAGATGGGTGAGAATACGCAAGAGAAACAACTCTGCAGATACCAAGGTCAATGAAGAAGGAGAGGGCGGAGGTGCTCCCGACACCAGAGCAGAGATTACCCTGCAGCCCACGGTGAAGACCATGATGAAGCAAGGTGTCCCTCTGCGGCCCACAGAGGTTAATGGTGGAGCAGATATCAACCTGCAGTCTGTGGAGGACTCCACACCAGAGCAGGTAGATGTCCAGAAGAGATTGTGGCCCTGTGGGAAGACTGTGCTGGAGCAGGCTTCTGGCAGGACCTGTGGAGAGAGAGGAGCCCACACTGGAGCAGTCTTCTCCTGAAGGACTGCATCCCACAGAACAGACCCACACTGGGGGGAGGGTCAATAAATAATACCTTCTTCTAAGTGACTATTCTGGTGTATTCCAGTAGTTTTCTGTACAATTTAGAAGATGCTTTTGATTCGTAGTGAATACTTCCTGAATGGTTATCTTCGCTCCTTTTTACCTGCACCACTGGCATAGGCTCCAGTGATGTATTCTTGGGCACAAAAGAGGGGTGTTCAATTTCTGTGCGGTTCTGGTTTTGCCCATTGGACTTGGAGACTGCAAAATGCGTGTTTTGTTTTGTTCGTTTCCGAAGCTCAAAGCTCAGCCTCTTCCCTGTGTCGCCACGCCAAGCAATGCAGCAGCACCACCCTGTGGGAAATAATATTTCTTCTAACTTACAGGATACTAGGTGAGAACTGAAAGGCAGCATTTGCACAGAGCATCCCCAGGTAGTACTGTGGTCCAGTGCAATCCTCCACAGTCCAAAGAATGTAAGGCACAGGAAATAGATTTCTTGCATCTCAACACCTCATGGATAATCTCTTTTGCTGTGGTGAAGATTAAGTCACTCTGACTCTTCATAAAAATTCAGGCTCACATTTTTCCCAAAATACTCTGCTGCTTCTCCTTATTCCTGTGTGGTTAGTTTTTCAGGAGAGAGGCAGGAGAGGCTCTGGTGGCACAGTGTGGAGGGAAGCAGGGATGTGCCACCACAGCTTCCTGACTTCAACCCTACTGTTGTTCCTATCAGCTTTTGGGAGTGGTGTGTCAGTCCTGTTTCCAGTCCTTCCTGTTCTCCTCCCTCCCTATATATAGGGCCACCTTTGTAAGAGAAAAGCTGGCAGGTGGCTGGAAATCAAGGATGCATTTTTTATGGGCTGGAGCCAGTGACAGCCAATGCCAGGACAAGGGGCAATGGTCCCAAGCTGGAGCATAGGAGGTTCAATCTGAATATGAGGAAAAACTTTTTTCCTGTGAGGGTGCCAGAGCATGGCCCAGGCTGCCCAGAGAGGTTGTGGAGTCTCTTTCTCTGCAGACATTCAAAACCCGCCTGGATGCGTTCCTCTGCAACCTAGTCTAGGTGATCCTGCTCTGGCAGGGGTTGGACTGGATGAGCTTTCAAGGTCCCTTCCAACTCCTAACATTCTGTGATTCTGTGGTTTTGCCCCAACCCTTTCTCAAGAAGAGAGTGCAGTTGTATTATGTGTGCTGCTAAGCTCTTGATCACTTTCATTTGTGTTATGAAAGATTCTCTGAGGGAGAACTGAGAAGGAAGAAGTTTCTTGATGTTTCATGATCTGGCATTGTATTTTACACTCCCTGAGGCCCATCATCCCATCCTTACATGGGACTGCTGTTGCAGGGCCAGGAATGCTCCAGGTCAGCTGGAAACAAAAGTGCCCATCCTTCCTGATGGGCTCTGCCACCAGTTTGCTTTATTCTACGCTACTGGCTAGGGCTCAGAAGTGTTTTGGAAGTACAGCATCAGTTCTCCCTGAGCACCATGATCTGTTACATATACCAGGGTACCACACTGTGGAATTAGGCTGACCGGTTGTAAAGAAGACTGACACCTCCTCCACCCACTCTCTCTGTCCTTTCAGCCCTTTCTTCCTCTCACATAGACTCTGGGTCCCCACACCTTTTCCCACACGCTCCGTGTTCTGCAGCCCTCTTCTCTGGTGTTTGTGTAACTCTTTGCTCTAGCTGTGCCCTGCTCTCCATGTCCAGTTCAGCACACTTCTTGTGTGGTTTATTTCTATCCTTGGCTTGTTTCATAAGCCTAGCAGCAAATACCCATTTCTTTGGCATCTCAGAGATTGCCTTTCCTTCTTCTCTAGATATTTGCTGTAGCAGTTCCTGAAGAGTGTGGTTTTGAGTAAACTAGTTAGATGTTGGTTTGTGCACAGTTTAATTCCTTGGTGCAGCACCTCTGAAGCCAGCTTTGCTGAGAGTTCAGGAAAATAAATGGGGCTATCTCCTGACACTTTCATATCCTGCCAAAACTTTATCCCTATTACTTTTTTGAATGGCTTTTTAACCTTTCTTTCATCTACTAACATGAGCACTGGTCAACAGAGAGATACCAGAAGCAAAAGTTGATGGATACAATACTCTTTAATAGTTCACAACAATAATACACGTTTTGTAAGCTTTCCAGTACACTAGGCAACAGGGGTTATTTCTCAAAGTTAAACAACATACAAAGCAGTAAACTGAACAAATATTCATCAAAAGCTTCTTCTAAATAACAGATATTTTTTAAATACTTTAAAAAGCATCAGAAATACCATTTGTGTATAAGCATGCTTTTCAAGTGGATAGAAGAAGTACTACAATATGATTTCTCAGTAGAAGCTAAGACCTGGTTTCTAGCTTAGAAGATCTGTGTTCTGCAGTTAAACAACCTTTATACCAGTGCTAGCATTGAAGACTGAGACAGCTTAGCTATTATTTAGTATTTCCAAGCATGCTCTCTGTTGGTGAATGAACAAACAAATGAACAATCATCATCTGCAGTTTCTACATGATCAGCAGAAAGTGATGCTGCCAGATGTTTCATCTGGTTATAACTTTAAACTTAAAAAAATAAGTTTTGAGAGTTTGTTGAAATGATCTTGTGTTTGGGGATTCTTCTGGTGCGAAGGATTTTTGGCAGGTTTAGCTTGAGATGGAAAGTCGCAGCTGACATAATTCACTCAGATATTCTTCATTGTCAGGATTCAATGCAACGGCTTTCTCATAGCACTTAATTGCTTCATGTTTCTCACCATTTAGATTATGAACAAGTCCAAGTGTACCAAAATCTGCTGCATTTCCTAAACCTCTCTTAATTCTCTGTTCCAACATTTGCTTCAGAGCCTTTCTGCACCTATTTTTTCCATAAGAATTCTTTTCAATTTTCAGCCCTTCCAGATAATACCTAATGGCTTCAGAGTATGATTTCATATGAAAACGCTGAAAATTGCCATAACGGTGGTAGAATTCTTGTTTATCATCATAGAATAGAGTATTTATCTGAAACGCTTTCTGAAATGTCTCTTCTGCTTCTTCATACATCTTTGCTTCTGCATACATATCTGCTAGGTCATTATGGGCGGAAAAAAACTTTGACTTTTGCTCAGTCACTGTTTTGAGGTGAAAAATAGCAAGTTGGATGAGTTCATCCACTTCCTCTTGAGGTGGATATCTTGTCTTTTTCAACTCAATAAGCTTTGCTTTGTAGCAGAGTCCTAGCTGGTGATGCAAAAAGGCAGATTTTGGTGTCAATGCTAGGGCCCTTTTCAAAATCTCCAGTGCCTTGTCCAATTCTCCTTTCTTTCTGTAAAATTTAGCAGCGTATCGCAGAAAAAAAGGCGTATCAGGGGTTTTACGCATTGCTTCTTCAATGTATCTCTCCCCTTCGTCAGCTTGGTTTGACGCCTGAAGTTTTAATGCAAGTAAGCCCACCATGTAAGTATCCATTGGATTCAGTTCCACTGCACGCTTCAGGGGCTCAAGAGATGGGCATGCATCTTCATACTGTCTGAGAGAAAACCCTTCCAAACGATGCATCGTTATTGCATAGCCGGCATTAAATTCTGGGTTATTGGGTTCATTCTTCAGTGCATTTTCAAAGCAATCCTTTGCTCTGTCGTAGTATTTTCTCCCAAATTTTAATAACGCCCATCCTTGCTCAGCATAGATCTCTGGAAGCTGAATCTTAAATTGAGCAGTGCTGGAAAGGTTTTTGCAGCAGTTTTCCACTTCACTTACGTAAGTTTGAGCTTCTTTGTATTTCTCCATGTGGTAATAGATCCAGGCATAGTTCCCCCAGGTAACAAGGCTTCTCCTCGCAATTTCATCTGGATGGTATTTTTTAGCTTCTTCTTCAGCTTTTTGGAGATTTAGAAGGGCTTCCTCATTTGAATTCTTTAAGTAGCATATATAGGATAGTAGATTATAATTTGTGATGTTGGATTTTACTAAAAAGTCGATCTGATCGCCTATTGTTTCCTCTCGTTCTTCGAGATCCACATCCTGCTTCAGCAGAGTCCATGTAAAATGACATTCTAGCTGCAGCAGGGAGCTCTTCAACGAATTCTTGGAAATGGAACTGTAAGAAATCAGAGAAAAAATTACTTATACTCTATTTGTTTTTCACTTGTCTTGTTTTTAAACTGGGCACGATGTACTTTAAAAGCAGGCAATACCTCAGCTTGTGCCACTAGTCAACAATACTTGAAACAAGCCAAAGCTGTGGGAAGCCATAGGTCTAAAGAGCTGAGCAGTTATTTTTGTAATTCTCCTTGCCAGTGTATGAGGACATATCTTGCAGACCAACAGAGCTGGTGGTCTGGATGCTGAAGAGGAGGTCTGGTTTCTATAGTAAAGCTGGCACACCTCTGAGCCTCAGGAGCATATTTCCCCTGTTGGGAACAACTGCTGAAGCCTATCCAAAAGAGGGAATCAAATAAAAAAAAAAAACAACTTCCCCCACAATGCAGAGGAAGTGATATGGTGCCTTTCCCATGTCTCTGGATGTTTTATGGTTTGGTTTATAAATATAATTTTGAATTTCCTGCATTTGTAAAGGTTTGTTTGTTAGATCATAGTACCATTTGTTATGTTATGATTATACTGATGTATCCAGTAGTTGACTCGCAGATCCCACCAGTCTCCCTAGTTGCTGGCACTTGGGCATACAGCCTATTGACTGGGGCAACCCTACTGCACTTGCTGGTACAGACCACACACTCAGTCACTCATTAACCCTGTGGATCCCCAGAAGCTGGCACTGGACAGTCAGTGGCTGGTCAGGGATCCTCTCTCTACCCAGGTGCCTCACCCCTACAGACAGATGGACACACACACACAAGCATGCTGACCAGACCCTGTTTACGTACAAGTGGCCTTTAATACTCCTTTATTCCTCTCTATTTTTCAACATTTGTTTCTTCCCAGATCACCCAGATTCCTTTTTTCCCCATCGCAAGTCTCACACAATCCCCAAATGCTTTTCCCTGCAGCCCATAATGTATCCCATATCCCTGGGTAGTTCAGGTGCTCCTGGTGCTGGGTGTCCCCCTGGCCCCTGGGGCTGAGGGCTCCCTGGGAAGGCCAGATGGGGCCTCTTGTCTCTGGCTGGGGCATTGGGGTGCTGATGTTTTTGATTGGTATTAACAACAGTTCCTAATTAGAAATCAGTATGTGAGGTAATTACAGTTCTTCTGGGAGGAAGGAGAAGTGAGGGCAAGTTCCTATTATTGTCACTGTCTTTTTAGAGACATTTGGCTACAGGTGAAGTACATGAGCAGTCCCATTCAATTCAAAATGTTGTTTTTTTATTGCCTCTGCTGAAAACCATGACAATGTCCATGGCTGAAAACAACAGCGGAGAGCAATTCATGAAAAGACACTTGTGGAAAATGTATATTCATTAATGTCACAAAAACAGGTATGTGATTTAGATTAAATACATTTTAGCTTAGTTCAACACATAACTGGTAAATGCAATTTCCAAAGCTCTTGGCTTTGCCCTATTTTGAGTGAGAGTGTGTGTGTGTGTGTGTGTGTGTGCACCTCTGTGCATGCATGACAGTCTTCAGAAAATGTTACACCCCCTACTTATGCTCCAAGCTGTGTCTCAGGACCTGCACTGCCCTATTTGCTGGTCGTCACAATAGCAGAGATCAGAAAGTAAGTTCTCAAATACATCAGTGCCAGTCACCCATTTAGCTGGGCACCAGTTTCGGCTGCAGCCCGGATTTCCTCCCTGAACTGCATACACACAGTTTTTTCTGACTGTCAGTTCTGTTCACAGAGACTGGACCTTGTCAGAGAAGCAATAACATTATAATATTCAGTAGCATCCTTATTTTATTTGGATTCTTCCAGTAAATATTTTGTAAAATATTTTCTGCTCTTTGGATTCCCAAAGTCCCTCATTGCTTACGTTTATGTAAATAACGAGCATTACTTTCCCATAGCATAGAAAAAAAGCATTTCTCAGAGACTGAGTTGCTCACTTACCTCATGGTTTTCCTTCCCTGCTTGCTTGTCTTACGGTAGCTTCAAAGTGCTGCTTACTGTTGTTACGATTTCCCTTTTATGTGATCCAGCCCTCACGTGATCTGTGAGCAATTTAACGGGAATCAGAAACTGAAACTTCAGCTTCTCTCTGAATCTGCGAAAGCGGCTGGAACAGCCGCCAGTAGGGGAACAGAAACTGCCGAGTCTCTAAGCTGCTTGTTTCAGCCTGGCTCCATGCCATGCATGACATTGTGTTGTGGAGAATGTGGCAACAGCTCCTAACAGCTCCCTCCATTTACCTTGTTCAAATCCAGAGGCATCTACGATAAGGAGACTATTTCAGGCTAGTATAGGCTGACCTGGTTATCATGCAAAAGCTAGGGAAGAGCAATTTCCCACTCCAACCTCTGCTGATGCATCTTTGCACAGTTTTGCACCATGCTTTAGGCTTCTGTTTTATTGGTATTGTGTCATCCACACAACAGTCAAACGCCTTTTCACCCCTGCCTGCACTCCTGTATGCCACATCCTGTGCCTTCACATGGCAAGGTCTCTGCTGTTGGACTAGACCTGTATTTCTCTGTGCTATATCGTCGTCTTGGAGTCCCAAATATCTCGTCCCACCTAGAATGGCTGCTTGTTGCTGCTCTCTACATAAAACCACAGTTGCACTGTGCGAAGGGAAATGAAAGCAAACCAGATTGGGTACAAACACCTGCCTGATTCAAGAAACTGCTGTCACAGTTACACCAAGCAAAACAAAGCTGCAGGCAGATCAGGACAAGCCCTGACAGAGCAGGCTCGGCAAGCCTCGGTCCCCAGGCCATGCAAAATAACACTGCAAAGCTACGGCCTGTTGCCAGCAACAGCAGTAGCATATTACAGGGCTGCACGTTATCGAAGAGATAGGGCACAGGTTGGGTACTGGAGCACCTATGGAAATAAACAACTCACTGATGCTTAGATTTAAAAATATGCAGACCTGGCTTGGTAAAATTGATTTTAGAGGGAACAAAGATCAAAGAAATAGTATCTAACATATGTAACTGTCACTATAGATAGTAAATTCGGATGTAACCTGAAGCTGCAGACCAGTGAAGAAAGAGAATTGTGTAAAAGCATGTTAGTGAACACATAAAAATGACCCAAAGTGTTTAATAAGTTAGTATTTTTAATTCGATACTGTCTGATGTCTTTCATAATTAGTATCTGTGGAGGTTGAGCTTCCCCTCCTCCCCCCATTTTGTAAGAATAAACAAATAAAAGTACATATAAGGGTGCTACACAATGCTGTTCATTGTTCCTGGTATAGGATAGAGTCAGCTCCCCTCGTTTTGTGAGGTTTTTCATGGAGGATTCACAAGGTTGTTCCTTTGCCATAACAAGCCAGAAAGTCGTTTATATTCAACCTGTCACCTCAGAACTGCTGCTGCCATCATGCTCAATCCCTGCAGTTACAGACAAGAAATGACAGTGATCATTTGTTTATAAATCTGTGTAATCTCTGACTGCCAATTTGTATGTTTTCAAGAATTCCAGGTTCTGGCTTATAAAAGTTTATCTTGTGCAGTATGAACAGCCCACGTCCTCACCCTCACAAGTGTGTGGGAAGCATCTGCATAGGGTGGAGTGAACCTCTGGATCTGGTAGTAAGCTGTGCTCATCCTCCTGCTTTGGGCAGGTCGTGTCTCTGTCCATCTGGCTCCAGTGACCCTTGGGCTCCCAGTGGGGGAGCTGGGGCAGCCCACAAGCTACTGGGGAAACGCTTTCTCAGGGAAGGCTCCCAGTGATGTGGTGAGTTTCAGCCCACATGGAGTCAATTCCCATTAGGCAGTGACTCTTCAGGATAAGACTGCCCTTTGCCTTTCTCTTCTTTCCCCCCTTTCACCTTCTTTTAAAAACAAAATTAAACAGTCTTACATATGACAGCTTCTAGTTTCTACAAGAAGTGGGAGACCCTTGGTACCACACATACCTCTTGTGTCTCATTTTGATGATTTGTGTGAGAGTGTGGGGTTTATTGGAGCTGCTGTTTCAGAGCTCAAGATAAAGGTTAGTACAGCTACTACTCTGAGTAGCATGCAACCTTCTAGCAATCAGGCATTTGGTGAGTGAAGAAAGGAGGCAGTGAATTGGGAAGGAAAAAATTATTAGGGTATCTACACAGATTATTTTATGGAAAATAAAGATTGCAAGTAATTATAGAAAAATGTATTTATTTGGTTTCAAGTCCAAAATCAAATGTGGACACTAATGATTTACTATGCTAGTAAGTATTTATGGGTTTCTCGTCTCTGCTTCTGTCCTGGGAGTCTGTTTTCCTTAGTACATTGCTTGCTACCTAGCTTGGCACACATGGAAAAATGCAGAAATTTTCTTCTGGAATGCAAAAATTTGCCCTGGTAGCCATATTTTTACATATTTAGTTGCATCTATATGCTTTGGTTTGACACAAATGCCTATTGAATAAAAAAAATGCAGGAAAGTGCTTAAAATAGAGTAACTGGAAATAAGAGAATAGTTATGCAATGCCTTTCTGCAGCCATCTTTATAACATGCTTGGCACAGCACCAGAAAATTCAGACCTACTCCTGCAGCCCTCCTACTTTCACTTCAGGGAAAGCTGCAGCTGTGACGCCTGGTGTCAGGAAGAGCTGCAAATGCAAGAACTTGGAAAAGGCTTGCGCAGAAGTGGGCTGGAAACAAGAACTGCATTCATATTTAGATACAAAGACTTTGTTTATGTGAGTATTGTGTACAAATACAAGAATAGGGAATGGCTTCAAAAGTAACTATACATTTTAGGGAGAAAACTAATATCTGTACATGTCCTTGGAGCTGAAATGGATACCTGCTGACAATCTCTCCTGGTACCATTAGCCCAGCCAAACAATTGCCTGAAGCGCAGTTTTCATTATTATAATATTGCAAACGAACTATACCACACTAAATTACAGGATCACTTTAAATGTCCTATCTTATGCTGGTTTCAAATTAGCCTAGTTTAGCATGTAATTACTGTGTCTGACAGCAGCAGTTGTGGCATTTAATAACTTGGGTTTTCCCCTCTTGGGGAAGAGTACCCTGTAATTAATTTGACAGAAAACCCAAATGAGTCACTCAGCAATATTTTTGCTACCAAGGTTCTTTAAAACCAAACGACCCTAAGAAATGCGATCTAGGAATGCAATGGGTCGCATAGTGTCACTTGTGCTGAGCAATGTAAGCCTGTATCAAAACAAGGGGATGCTATGAAAACTTCAATAGTCTTTCAATTAAAATCTTAATGCTTTTTAAATAAAAGTGTTTCTTGACACACTCTTGCTCTACCACTGTGTGTTTTATATCAGGTTTCTGGTTTTACTCTGATGATATTACTATGGTTGTAGTAACATGAATAATTATATTATAGGATTGAATTTGGTCCAAGGTTTTGCAAGCCTGGTCACACGTCCTCTGACCACAGACACGCTTCTCTGGGAAATTAAGATACAAAACACAGTGCCAATTATTTGTCTCAGAGAACGAAGACAAAACAGATTTGCGGGAAGCTGATGATAACCCTGCTGGAACTGTGTGCCTGCATGTAACTTAAGCCCACTTCCATTAGATTTTATATATTGAGACTATGCTCGAAGATGATGGATAGATAATCTATTTGTGTAAGAGTAACAGCCGTCGCTGCAAACGCTGTATAGTCCTTACAAAGCCCGGCTCTTCCCGAGGTGCAGGTGTTCAGCACATCGGGAGCTGCCTGCCGTGGTGGGCGAGGCTTCGCCCTTCCTGTGCTGCTGCTTTCTCCCCTCCCACGGGCTCTGCGGCAATTATTTACATAAATTACAGCCTCGCAGGGCGGCACTGTGAGGATTCTGGAGACTTCTGATGATGATGACGACGACCGGATGCAGAAGACAGGAGGGCTGGGAAGCAAAAACCATGGGCGCCGT